ATCCTGCCCCCTGTCCTGTCCCCCTCCTGCCCCCCATCCCGCCTCTATCCCGCCTCCCATCCTGCTTCCAGCCGGGCTCTCCGGGTGCTCTCCAACCCCCCCCAGTCCCACACTGGAAGCCCAAAGGGAACTGCCCAACCCCGACTAGCCCCAGCTAGGACTCCCCAGCACACCCATCCCTCCCGCCTTGCCCGGCAGCGAGCGCCCCGCGCCGCCTCAGCACCCAAAAAGTGTCGGGCTTAGCCCCAAAAAGCGCTCCCAGCCCCCGGCGGGACCCGCCTGTCACCGGCGCCGCTCCCTCCGCGCGGTGCCTCACCTGGTGCCGGCCGGCGGCAGCGGGCCACGTCCGCGGGGCCCGGGCGGGGCGGCAGCAGGAGGAGGAGGAGGAGGAGGAGGAGGAGGAGGAGGAGGAGGAGAGGACGGAGCGTGTCCGCCTGGCCGTGCCCGTCACCGCCGCTTCCTGCCCGGCCCTGCTCGGCGCTCGGCTGCGCGGCCTGGTGGGCCAGGCGGGGCAGGGGAGCGGCACCGCCCCGCGGATCGAACCGCCCGGGGCATCAGCGCTCGATTGATCGGCCTGAGCGGTCCCGCCGGGACCTGAGGGGAATTGGGGGTCGTTCTGAGGGGAAAAGCGGGGATTGGGGAGGACTGGGGTGTGTAGGGGGGTCAGGGGATTATAGGAGGGTCTCAGGGTCTATAATGGGATCAGGAGTGTTTATGGAAGTCTCGGGGTCTCTAGTGGGATCAGGGAGATGGGAGGGTCTCAGGGTCCATAGCAGGATCAGGGACGCGTGTATGAGGATGTCAGGGTCTGTAGTGGGATCAGGAGGGTGTGTGGGAGGGACTTGTGGACCTGTAGTGGTCTCAGGTGTGTGAGGGCAGCTGGGCCTCCTGCAGTAGCCTCAGGTATGTGTGGATGAGGCTGTGGGGGTCATAGTGATCTCAGGTGTGTGTGAGGGGGGTATCAGGGTTTATAGGAGTCTCAGGTGTGTGTATGGGGGTGTCAGGGTTTATAGGAGTCTCAGGTGTGTGTATGGGGGTGTTGGGGTTTATAGGAGTCTCAGGTGTGTGTATGGGGGTGTCAGGGTCTATAGGAATCTCAGGTGTGTGTGAGGGGGGTATCAGGGTTTATAGGAGTCTCAAGTGTGTGTATGGGGGTGTCAGGGTTTATAGGAGTCTCAGGTGTGTGTATGGGGGTGTCAGGGTCTATAGGAGTCTCAGGTGTGTGTATGGGGGTGTCAGGGTCTATAGGAGTCTCAGGTGTGTGTATGGGGGTGTCAGGGTTTATAGGAGTCTCAGGTGTGTGTATGGGGGTGTCAGGGTCTATAGAGGTCAGGTTTGGGTGGGTGGGTTGTCAGGATCTGTAGTGGGCTCAGGTGTGTGTGGGGGATAGTGTTTGGGCAGGGTAAAAATACTGCTCTGAGTCTCTCAACACCTGTTGCAGGTGTTGGGGAGCCAGGTCAAGGACCGTGTGTCCTGTGGCATATCCCAGCAGGAAAAGGCTCCTGGTAACCAAAAAGAATCAGGTGGGACTTTGCAGCAAAGGCACAAAGGAGAAGGGACTGTAGTAGGGATGGTGAGCTCTGGATTAGGAATTGCTTGGAATAGAGGCAGGGAAAGGTGAGTTTATGCTGTTTCTGTCACACTTTGTGGTTACCCCCAGCCTCTGAACCTAGAGATGCTTTCCTTTATTGTTATAGAGGCTTATTTGACGGGGGGGGAGGAAATTATTTTTCTAAATAAAATTGACAGCTGTTCCCCTCTTGGACTGCTGGAACTGTCCTCACAGATCCCTGTGAAACCAGAAGTACAGAAACCTGAGAGCCCCAAGTACCAGGTGAGGGGTGTTGGTGTGTCCTGTGCCTCAAAGGCCAAGGTACAATATCGGCTTTTCTTGTTGCAGTGGTGCAATTCACACAATAAATGAGTTTCCTGTTTATAAAGCTTAAGTTATAACCTTTCTTTCCCTCTATTTCTTGCAAATAGAAAGGAGGGCACAGCGAGCACGACTCGTGTGTCAGATGCTCTGTGAAAAGCTGGTGCTGACCAGGCAGGAGGCAGAAATCTCTGCTCAAAGTGAGTGTGCATAAAACACTGAATGAGTTGTGATGAGAACAACAGCTCTGATGGAGGCACGAGCCAAGAACAACAGCTTGACAGGCAATTTTACACTTTCCCTGACAGCTCCTTGGGGCGTAGACAGTTAAGTTTCTGCGTTTGTAAGGGGAAACATGGCATTCCTTACAGCTGAGCCTCCTCCCTCGGGTTCCCGCTGAATGCCTGAGAGATGACAGCAGAGGGTGTCTCCAGAAGGCTCCTATTAAACAGGAGGAATTAGCACGGAGGGAGCAACTTCGAGATCCCAGTTTTGACCACAGAGCGAGCTAAAAAGCGTTGCATCAGCAGCTGTGTGCAGCCAGCGGGAAGGAAACTGCACACAGCTCCTGGTCAGGGGGCTCCCGTGCCCTCCTGGTGGTACCTGCGCCCTCCCGGTGTGGGAAGGGCTGTGCTGGGAGGGTCAATCGGCTCCAAACCGAAAGTGCTGAGGCAGTGCGAGGCAGGGAGATTCACCTTGGGAGGGCAGCCGTGGTTCAGACACACAACCAGTCGGATATCCGCAGCAGCACGACCCAGTCGGGTAGGGGAGCGGGTGAGCCGAGCGTGTGGACAGATGGAACAGATACAGACAGGAAATGGGGAAGAAAGGGGGAAACCAGTGGTTTTAAAGCTTTAAAGGGGGCTCTAGTTAGATCTGAGAGAGGGGTTGAGTCGTGCAGTCCCGTTTCTATTTTTGGCTCTGTGACTGTATGACTTTGGGAAGCGATTTGAGCAGTTCAAGCCAGGTGTGAGCGGGGAGAGGACAAAAACCCGTGGGCACCAGGCAGCTCATGCGATGTGGCAGCTGCCACCACACCCTTTCCTGTTCGCCCCGTGGCCGCGGGCAGCCCTGCCAGCCACGCTGCCTGAGTGAGGACAGAGGGGGGAAAGGAGTGCTTTCCAAGACGCTGATAACCCCCAGCACCCGGCATTCCTTGGAAAAGGAGAGCCAGCGAGCAGCTCTGGTGGTGTGTCTCCACGGGGACAAGTCAAGTGCTCCCGAAAGCCCTGGTTGCTGCTCCAGGCTGGTCCTGACTTTTGGCCGTGCCTCAGCCTGGCTCCTGTTACAGGCAGAGCTGACTTATGGAAAAAGGCACCGGGCGTACTTGGCATGGGTGTTCCGAGTTAAAAATTGTCAGTCTGGGCAAACAGACCTTTGGGGTGAACTGCAGGAGAGCCAAGTGCCTGCACTGCGTTATTGCAGCTCTTGTCAGAACACCCGAGTGTGACCTGGCGCTGCTCTGGGTGCCGAGCGCCCGGCTCGGCGGGTTTTGGAGAAGTGCTGCGGGTTTGGGAGCTCAGTCCTTTAGACCAAACCCATTTCCTTCCCCTCGGTGAGGTGTCTGTAGTGCCTCGGTGAGTCAATAAGCTCTGCATGTGAGGAATGCACCTCGCAGCTGAAGGTGAGCCATTAGTGTGGCTGTGCTGGAGGCAAGGAGACTAATTAGTCCTTCCCTTAGACTTCAGAGCTGCAGAAATGAGATAGGGGAGATATTTAGCCCGGAATATCCATGTGAGGCATTTTCAGATGGAGTGAGATGCTGCTTTTAATTGTTCCCTCGTGTGAATCTCAGCAGAGGATCTGTGTCTTGGTCCTTAATTCTGTAGCAGTGTCTAGTCAGGAGGATAACCTGTGCTGTAATGCAGATGTGGGGCATTCCTGATGGATTTGGGCACGTGTTCTAGAAGCTGCTGTTTACTGGCAGGAAGGAACTGGTTCACCTGGGTGAAGGTGAGATCACAGTTCTGTGGTGGGGCTTTGCTGTGAGTATGGAGGAAGAGGGAAGCAATTTCTGTATTAAACTATAATAAAGTTCAGGCGAGTACAAAATGTCCTCAGAAGTCCATTCTTAGCATGGCAAGGTCCACAGCTCTGCTGTGTGTCTATTACAGAATCACAGGCTGGGTCAGGTTGGAAGGGACCACGGAGTGTCATCTGGTCCAACCTCCCTGCTCAGGCAGGGTCATCCCAGAGCACATGGCACAGGATTGTGTCCAGAAGGCTGGAATATCTCTGGTATGGGAGACTCCACACCCTGTCTGGGCAACCTGTTCCTGTGCTCAGTCACCCCCACAGTGCAGAAGTTCTTCCTCGTGTTCAGGTGGAATTTCCTGGGCATCAGTTCCTGCCTGTTTCTCTTCTCCCATTGGTGCTCCCTGCCCCCCTTCCCCCTAGCAGAGCCTGGTCCATCATCCTCTGATCCCTCCCTGCAGACACTGACAGACATGGATGGGATTCCCTCTCAGTTGTATCTTCTCAGGGCTGAGCAGGCCCAGCTCACAGAATCATCAAGGTTGGAAGAGACCTTTAAGATCATCAAGTCCAACCGTTCACCCTAAACCACCACAATCATCACCCAGCGCCGGGCCCCAATGCCTCTTGAGCACCTCCAGGGATGGTGACTCCACCACCTCCCTGAGCAACCTATTCCAATGCCTGACCACCCTAAGAATGAAATTCTTTTTTTTCTAATATCTAACCTAAATCTCCCCTGTCTTAGATTAAGGCCATTTCCTTTGGTCTACTCACTGCAGGCACGATAGAACAGACCGTGCCCCGCCTCACTACAGCCTCCTTTCAGGCAGTTGTAGAGACCCGCGACAGCTCCCTCAGCCTCTCCTCCGAGCAGAGATGCTCCAGTCCCTCCATCAACTTTCACCCTCCAACGGGCTCGCTGCAGGACCTCCATCCACGTGTTTCGCCCCGAAGAGCCCGGAATCCTGCACCACAGGCGGCCAAAACCGGAGACGAACCATGAACAGCAGAGAAGTAAAACCCTCACCCCACCGCGGTGCGGGCGGGCTGGGGCCTCGAACCCGCGTCCCTCCTCGCTCCGTCCCGCGCCACCCCCGCCCCGGCGCCGCCCGGAAGCGGAAGCGCCGCGGTTGCCGAGCGGCGGCCGCCCCGTCCCGGCCGCTCCCGCAGCCCCCGCGGCCATGAGCGCGGCCGGGATCGTGTCCGCGCCCCCCGCCGCCCCGCCGGGGCCGCCCGCCCCCGCCATGGCCCCCGCGCCCGAGTACTACGAGGAGGAGGAGCTGGAGAGCGCCGAGGAGGAGGACGGCGAGCGCAGCGCCCGGGCCCGCGACTCCGATGAGGGTGGGCGCGGGTTTGGTGCCCTGGGACGGTGCGGGGGGTGGTGGTGGGATGGGATGGAGAAGGGGGCACACCCCGGCCGGGAGGATGTGAGAGGGTTGGGTGGTTGAAGGCTCTGGAGCGGCGAGAACGCCCGAGGAAAACAAGGACCTGTCGGGTTCCAGGAGTTCCCTGCGGAAGCTGCAGGACAGCCAAGTCCATGGAGATGGTGGAGGAGAGGAGCCCGTGGAGCGGTGGAGCTGTGGTTTTCTGAGTGAGGGGGAGGAGGGAGATGGGAGAGCGCTGAGCAGGAGGGATTGAGTGGGGTAGCAGGGGGAAAACTGGAGAAATCCAGTGTTAATTGAGTGGGATAGGAGGGTGAAAATAGTTGAGAAATGCAGTGTATTGATAGATGGGGCAGCAAGGGGAAAATAGTGGAGAAATCCCGTGTATTGGTTCTATTTCTGTGGTGTGAAGGGGGGAGGAGGCAGCTAAGGAGAAAGTGTGGACAGCAGTGAGGGGTTGTGGGAGGATGTAAGAGGGAAGAGGGGCTTTGTAGAGAAGAAGACATGAAGTAAAGCACAAGGTATCCAGGGGTGTAGAGTGCATAAAATAACAAATAAGGGGGATGGAGGAAGACCCTTGGACAGCACCTGTTGCTGTCAGCAGAGCCCTCCATCACCTCTGGTGTTGTCATGGATGGGGAATGTTAAAGGTCCTGACAGTGTTTGGGTCAGTCAGGGCTCTCCAAGGCTGCACACAACTAAGCTGGGTATGGAAGTCCCTTATGGTGACCCAGACATGTTAAGTACTTCTTTTACTGTTAAAACGTTTTGGTTTATCTTTGTTGTGAGCTTAAACTGTTGGTAGGTTAAGAAAAACCTGAGAAAGGTTTGATTTAAGGGGCTGGCCCCCCTTTCCTGTGTAGGGAATGTAGGTGGGATTGAGTTCCACCGCTGTACCCTGTAAAGCCTGGAGACACTGACCTCTCCTCGGGGAGGAAAACTAACGGATTCTTGGCTACCCGTGTGTTATAAATAGAAGCCTGAAAAGGCTTAGCAGAAAACTAGCAGTCCCACAGTGGTTTAATTTGTTTATGTTACCTGTTTATAAAGTGGAGCTGTTTTTGTGGCAGTGCTGGTGCTTGTTGTTAAACATTGGAGTGCTTCTGAGTGATGTGTAGCTGAGAAGTTCGGGTCACAGCGAGTAACTGTTCTCTTCAGTGAGACCTTTGTGATCAACCCGAGCAGCTCTGAGTGGGTGGAACTGCAGTGACAAGTTTGTGAAAGGTCTTACAGAGTCTTTCCTGCTCACCTGTGTATGTGTGAGCATTAATGCAGAGCCTGTTGTCTTAAATGGGAAGAAATTCCCAGGCTCTCTGAAGTTGGAGTTGTTTGGACTCAATTTAAAGCTTCACTGCAAAACTCCCAGTTGCAGGAAGGAGGTGAGAGGGTTTGTTCCACTCCTGAATTCACTGCAGAGGCCCCTCAGGTTGTGTCTTTGAGGTTAGATTGCTTGAGGTCTGGGGAATTGTTTTTTTGTTTGCTTATTTCTGTGCTTCTAAATAATTTACTACTTTCTTTCTTTCTTTTTTTATTTTTTAAATCTTTAATTTTAACAAGTTGTTTTTGACCTCATTTAGACACTGAGGATGCCAGTGAAACCGACCTGGCCAAGCACGACGAGGAGGACTTTGTAGAAATGAAAGAACAGTAAGTAGCCCATGCTAATCAAAAATAAGGTAATATTCTGTTTATCTGTGGCTTTGGGGATGTTACTTTCACAAAACTGCAGAGTTTTGAGCCAAGATTGGGTGCTTTTAAATGGAATAGCTCATAAGACCACATACATGTATTTCTGCTCTTTCTGTGGTCTATATATATTCAAGGAATTAAGTGCTGCTGCTGTTTTGGCTAAAGGAAGATTTATGAGTTTTGCTGCAAATGGCTCCTGCTGCTTTAAATAAAACAAAGGGTCTGCTTTATGTAAGCTAAGGAAAAGCAAGATGCCTGTCAAAATCCCTTAAACAAAGGAATGCTAGTCCTGGCCCAGAAATGGGCTTTCTGGAGACTGGAAGTAGTTTCCTGTGATGTTTAGGAGTATTTGCAGTATTTTGAGTTCTTGCTTACTGGCAGTGACGTGTTTTTATGGGGGTCAGGAAGGCTTAGCCTGTGTTAAACCACAGATAGATGGTAAAGGAAATGAAGGTTTGCAACAGAACCAGGAATAGACTTTGGTTTTTTTAATAACGTCAAGATCTATGCGAGGAGATGCCTTCTGTTACATGTAGGGAGCTAATGCACAGATAGTAGGACTTGGCAAAGTGGCAGAGTGTTTGTGGATCTAAATGTCACTTTAGATATTAACATTAATAAATATTTATTCTATTTTATCGTGAATTGTTCCCAAAATATTTGGTTTGGGTGCATTGTAAAACCAATGGGGTGGCAGAGGGTTTTTTTTTTTTTTAGACAGAACAAAAACCTTTCATTTGGATAAAATTCTTTTAATTCCTCATTCATTTCTTTCCTGAAGTTCTGAAAAGTTTTTTTAATTCTGTGTCAATATGTTGTAACCTGAAGAGAGGGTGGAATGAGCTCTGTATGCTTGGCTTTCAAAGCAAAGTTTCGTGCTGACTGTCTTTGCAGGATGTACCAGGACAAACTGGCATCTCTGAAGAGGCAGTTACAGCAATTGCAGGAAGGTAAGCTTTGAGGGGGGACTTATTTATATTGCTAGACAATTTTGAGCACCTTTCAAATGTCATGGAAGGATGGGGGTATTGAAAGATGTAAGCTGCATCCTCCACTGCATGTTGGCTCTCAGCTGTGCTGCTGAGTGAAAAATGTCAACCACTTCCATCCTTTTTCCCCTCTAAACACTTGTAGTTAATCTTCTGTGTGCTAAAGCATTTCTTAGAAGGAGTAATCCACTTTCTGAAGAAGCAGGGAATATGCTTTTCCAAATTAACAAGCTAGAACTGTAATTTTCTGATCTCACATATTAGTGTTTGTGCTTCAAGCAGTGTGTGGCTCCTTGAGAAAATTTAAAACTTATGGGAAAAAAAAAATCAGTGGGAATCTACAGTTTATTTGCACTCCAGGTACTCTTCAGGAATACCAGAAAAGAATGAAGAAGTTGGACCAGCAGTACAAAGAAAGGATACGAAATGCAGGTAAGTGGAATTTCTCTGTAAGACACTGCATCCAACTTAAATTTATGTTTTTTAAAACACCTGAAGGAAAAAAGGGGTAATTCTGTGCTCTAAAGAAAAAGAACCCACTGGAGACAAGGGTTCTTCTACTTCCAAGGATGTAGTGGTTACAGTGTAGGTTGCTTCAGATTCCACCAAGTATGACAAGATCTATCTTGAATATTTTTTTTCCCCTCATCAGCATTGTTTTCTGACTGATACTAAACACTGATAAACAGTTTTAGTCTTCATTGGTGTGAAACAGCACAATTAAAAAAGGTTATTTAATTCTCATCTGCCTAACCCACAGCCTTCTACTTTGCCTTGTTGTTTTGTGCCACTTCTGAAGGTGTTGGGTGCACTGCTCCCTTCAGTTTGCAGGACTGGAATTTAGGAGCACGTGCTTTCCCAGTGACCTGTTTCGTGCCCCAGAACAATGAATACAGAGGGTTCTGCTGCTGGAACTGTTACTCTGCACAGCTGGGGCATGGAATGGGCTGCCTGTACTTTGTGTTCTGCTCTGTTCCAGGAGCAAAGGCCCAAGTTCATTTTTACAGTGCCCAGCTCTCACCCTTCTGGGTGGCCTTCATTGTGTTACTGCAGAGGAATGGCTTGGAAATCAGGTCCCTTTCCTTGCCCTTCCTCTTTCTTGTTCTCTTCCTAATAGGTTCTTATCTTGGATGCTGAAGCAGGGCCTTTCATAGAAGCCATTAGGTGGGAATAGGAATTGTAGCTGTTCCTCCTTTAGAGAAGTTGGATGAATCCTGTAATGCCTGGGCTGTTAATCTGGGAAATACAGCAGAGAGGCAGTGGCAGTTGTATGATGGCCAACACACTCTGACCTTTGGATAGTGGGAATTCTGTCTTTCTAAAAGTGCTTGGGATGATAAAGGATTTTCTTGAGTGATTTAAGTGATTTGAACTGCTTCTTGTTCATGGGAATTTGTGTTCTGAGATGAATTTCATGTGCACTAGAGCTGCATCCTGGCAATACTGGGTTGTTTTGATAAAATTAAGACTAAGTGCAAGCTGGTATTTCTGGCTGGCCAAGGCCGGTGCTGCAGCAGCTTCTTTCTTCCACAGGAGGGCAGGTGGTGATAACTTTCAGTTTTGTGATTTAAAAAATCCAACTGCTTCCATGCTTAATGGGTAGAGCTCTTTGCAAACAAAAGGGTTGATTTTTAGTGGGCCATTATTGGCTTTGGTATTTATTTTACTGATTTTTTAAAAATCATGTTTAAGAAAGCCCAGCAGTACACTGTTGCTACTACAGTCTTCTCCAAAACATATTTGAAGCTTGTGATCTTTACAGGAGTTTTTACTGTTTCAGGTATTACCAAAGCTTAATATGCTGGTGAAATACTTGAAGGCTGATCAGGTGCCTTAGTTTGTTTTTGTTGCCACTCTCTTGAGAGTAAAAAGTGTTTTGGCCATTATGTCCTTTAGGAAATGCAAGGAGGCTCCCATCCTGCTTAATTTCAAGTTGTTAGAGATGGCACAAACATCAGGAGCAGGGCTATTTCACACCCTCAGATCCCCTCACCTCATCCTTAGGTCTGATTGAACTAATCACTGCCATGTGTTGGCACTAAACCTTCAGTGCCACACAACAATTCCCTTGTTTTCTCAGGCATGAACAGCCTGAAATCACCCCTGGGAGTTGACTAGATCAGTCTTCTGACAGCTGCAGAATTATTTCTTAACCAGTCTCTGCTGAGATACATGAAGTTGGCTTCAACTGTGACTATTTAGTTGCATGTTTCAAGCTCCTATCCTGGGAAGTTTTTAACTAGTCTTAATTGATTGTGGTTTAATAGGGAGAAAGATGGACTACCTGCTGAGTACTGCTGAGATGAGTAGCCAAAATGAATATTATGGGATACTGCTGTGCAAGCTTTTCAGTTTGCTGGCAGTCTGTAAATAACTTGCATTAACAGTGTATTTTTGTGAATTTTTTTCATGGTTACTTTATTTTCCGCATAAAACTGAAAAGTGAAAGTAGAGGTGGGATGAGTACACACAGTGTTTGTTCACGGCCTGTCTTGGCTGCAATATTCAGTGGCTTAAAATGTTAAGGAGGTAATTTTGTGCATCTTTGAAGATAATAAAGTAAGTCTTTCTTGCATTTCAGAACTGTTCCTGCAGCTGGAAGTAAGTCCTCCTAATTTATTCATATATATAGGTGGTAGAGGTGTAAACCTTGTTCCATCAACCAGTACTTGGGCTTGTTTTCCCAGGAGACTTAAAGAAATTTTCCTCCTCTGTCTGGTTTTGTTACACTTGAGTTGTAGTACAGCTCACTGCTGGTATTACTTGAAGTAACTTCTGCACTTTGTTGTTAAAATAGAATTAAATATTTGCTCTTGGGCTGTTGTAACTGGCTGTGTATTGGATTGCCTAAAAAAGGCTGTTTAAGGCAATAAATGAAAGTCCTGTTTATTAATCTGAGGAGACTTGATATGTTATGCAACATTAAAATGTCTTTTCAAAAATAATTAACTCTTCAGCCAATAAAATGGTACTAAGTCATATTTAGATGGTTTTCTGTTGATGATGAATATTGATAATCTTTAGAACTGCAGTTTTGAACTGAAAAGCTGATCAATACAGCATTTGAAAAGCTGTTGTGATATCATTAATTAGAGTCGTTGGTCCCTTAATTAACCTTCTTGCTCTTTTGGTTTGCATTAGACAGATCAGGTGGAAAAAAATTACGTGAAGGAAAAGAAGGCAGCAGCAAAGGAGTTCGAAGATAAGAAAATTGAGCTTAAGGAAAATCTGATTGCGGAGCTGGAAGAGAAGAAGAAGATGATTGAGAATGAAAAGCTAACCATGGAATTAACAGGGGGTAAGAAGAAGATAAGCAGCTGTCATTTATCCACTCTGCTGCTGCTGCTTAGGAAAAAAAGCCATAAAGGTGGCAATGCTGGTTTACACAGACAGCTGGTGGGAAATGCCAAGAGGGGTAAAACACAAATGGATGGTCTTCTAATGGAGAAAGCAGTTCCTAATAAAATTCAGTGACCTGAATTGCTGACAGGTGAATCAAATAGTGCCAGTCGAGCAGCAGAGTGGATGATGGGCTTTCTTGTACACAGGGAAATGGGCTGCTTTAGTTCCTGTGATCTGGCAATAAAACTATTGAGATATGTCACAGTCTTGACCTAACCAGTGATGCCAGCTTGTAAACTGTCCTTTTCTTCCTACAGGAGTAGGTGCTCAAGTAGTTGAAGAAAGGCAGACAATAAAGGTTGGAATATTCTACTTTAAGCCAGAAAAATAAATTTGTGAACTGCTTTTGTGTCTAGGCTCTGGAAAATTTACATTTCTTCGAGAGCAGTTGATGCCTTTGCTGCCTTGGCAGTGCTCATTGTAGTAATTGACGCAGTGGAGCTAATTTGAGGGGTAATTAACCCCCTGCAGAATTGCATTGCTGTGATACTGAACCAAAACTCTGATTTGTTCCTCATTTTGAGAGCAACTCCCTCACTTCCTGGATAGATAGTGTTGATGTTGTTGCTGAGGCATGTCCACAAGCTACACCCTTCATATCTTTCTTGCAGATGTTATATAAGCTAATAATCTAATTAGTGCTCAGAAGTGAGAATTAAACCTTGTTTGGACATCTTCAAGAGTTCTCTTGGCTTGGTACAAACTGTTGATGGGGGCTCATGTGGTCTGGAAATCAGCTTGAGTTATGCTGTTTCCCTGATAACTTCTTTTAATTATGAAGTCTGGTCTCCTGGTCATCCCTGTTCACCCTTGAGATGAGGAGACAAGGAATTTGGTGTATTTTGCACATGCAGAGCTGCTCAAGGTTTCAGCATCTAGAGGGAGCCAAAGGGGCTTTCCAGATTGAAGTGCTACCCAGGATGTGATTCAGGGATACCTAAAGATGAGCAAATAAATCTCAGCACGTACAAAAAGAGGGGACATGATGTGTTTGGCATTCAAGATGTGGTCTCTTGGTTGCCAGTCCAACATAACTTCATAAATTAAGGAATGAGTTCTGAGAGTTTTGGTGGAGTTGTTCAGTTAAGGCTCCGGGCAGACACTTGGACAAACTGCCATTTCAGATAATTCCTTGGTGAGGAGACTGGTGTTTCAGCTTTAAACAGACTTTTTTCCCTTTTTCCCCAGCGCGTGTGCTGCAGTTTGTTTCCTCTCAACTGCTGCTCTGCATGTTATTAATTAGGTTAATTTCATTAATAATTTTTAGATAATCTGAATTTGAATACTGTTTGTTTAAAATCACTCCAGCAGAATTGTATCAGTCTTGAATGCAGTAATTTTCTGTATTCCTTTGACAGAGCTGTTTTTCTTGCTTGAAGACAAGAAAAAGATTAATTGATTTGTAGCAGATGTTTGACATGCTATTAATGATCCAAGTTTTGTTGGCAAAGAGCTCCATGAACTTGGCCTTTTAACTGCTCTGTCCCAAGCAGATAGAATTAGCATTAAAGAAATTTACCTTGAATCCTTGTAGCATCATTGTGCTGCTTATCTGTACCTGGAGCAGCTGTAAATGACAGCTGTAAACATGGCATTGCAGCAGTCACTGAACAGTGACCTGATGGCAAAGAGAACTTGTGTTCACTGTCAGCACTTCCAGCTCCAGGTGCTGGAAGCTGTCACAAAGAAAAAAATAAAAGAAAAAAATCCAATTTGCTGTGTGAAAGGGGAAAGATTATTTTCCTCGTGCCTTGTGTAGAAAACTGCTGCTGCTTTCTCCTTTCTCTCTGGTCTTATCAGCTCTTTGACTTCATTACTCTCCAGATTCAATGGAAGTGAAGCCCATTATGACAAGGAAACTGAGGCGACGACCAAACGATCCAGTTCCCATCCCAGACAAGAGGAGGAAACCTGCCCCTGATATCCTTTCCAGAGTCACTGCAGGGCTGCTGGATTTGAAGCCACTGTGCCACCTGCACCTTTGTGCTGTGCAGGGAAGAAAATGAAATTAAATGCTAGGATCAGATTTTAACCTAGGAAATAATGAAGCACAGTTGTCATGTATAATGTGTGATAAACCAACATAGCAGTCATAGAATATTTTATACATACATATATATAAACCAGTGTTTGGAGATCCCTTGGTATCCTAACTGAAACCTTACAGTGTCATGAGATAACTTTATATTTGTCAGTGAGAGTAGTTTGAATTCTACAGGCAGTTCTTTTTTCACAGAGGAAGAACTTTAAAAGAGCGTTATATTTATATGCTGAGATAATTGATTCCATAGATAGTAAATGGATTTTTACATGAGCCAAAGCTTTTCTCATTTCAAGATGCGACAAAGCATTCACCAGAAAGATCATATTTGTCATATCAAACTAGTTTTTCCATTTCTGATAAAGGCTTCAGATCCCTAATCCAGCAAATGCATGGCAAAAGCAAGGAGTGGTAGATTTTTCTTTTGAATAAGAAAAGACGAAAATTCATCCTGTTTTTATGTATCACAAGAGAGAGAAACACATGTATATGTATTCCTTCTGTTCTGCCTTGTTGCATGTCTCAGAATTAAAATGTTTCTGGAAATACGTTTTTAGCTCCTCTGTGATGACAGGCAGTTTTCCTATTTGTGTATTAAATTCATCTGGAAAGGAAGGCAAGGATGTTTGCTTTGCAGAGGCTTCTTATTAGATTCTAAACTTATATGTCTTAGATTAAAAAAAAACTTATCTTAGTGACTGGCATTTTCTGAAGGCAGCATCAAACCTTGAACTCCTGGAGTTCATGCAGGATGGTCACAAGCACCTCCAGTTTTAATTAACCTTTTTCTGGTTGGAAATTCTGTTCACTCTGTCAGGGAAAATATGATCATTTATTAGTGCCCCTATCTCATCCAAAATAAATGAGTTTCATAGTGAACATGACCTGCTAATTGAGCGTGATACAGCAGCCAGTATGAAACCCTCTCTGCCTACCCACACTGGGGGGAGATTAAAGTCCATCAGAACCAAAATCCTGAAAATGCAGCCTAGAAGTTGTTTACTTCAGTTTAATACTTTGAATACTTTTGACTAAGCTGTTTTGGAGAAACAAAAGGACAGCAAAGCTCTAATAAGACTATATAGACTGACTTCTGGGGTTTTGGGTTTGTTTTCAGGTGCGTTACAGGCTTTTATTACTCATCCACACAAGGCTGTGTTTCGCACCTCTGGCTTTAATTTTTTAATTTAATTTTGTATGGGTTTCCCCTCTTCTCTAACTCTCTACTCCTGGTTACTGAGTTGCAAAATGATGGCTTTTATTTTCCTGGGTCTGGGTGTGGTTTGGTTTCCCTGTACAAAATCTGAAGTGAGTCTGTAGTTCCAGCTTCCAGATTCTTCTCTACAGAAATACAAGACAAAACCCACTGAAAATGCTGGTGCTTGATGCCCCCATGAAGTAAATGTCAATCCACTAAAGGTTTTTCATTGATGGCTGTGCCTAAATAAGTTAAAGTCATTTTGCACTGTGTTTGCTGCTGAAGATGAGGCTCAGTGGATATTGGCTTGTATCAATTCCTATGACAAAAAAAAGCTCAAGTATGACACTTAGTAAAATCTTATGCAAATCTACAGAAACCTTTTGGCTTACATTTAGTCAAGTGAAATGTCATTGACCTTTAATTTTTAGCCTTGCTTGTCAAGAGCTTATGGGAACCTTAATTCTGGATACCTCAGCTAAATTATTTGTTGACTGATGAGCAAATAATGGAGGACCTGAGAACGCTGAATAAGGTAGGAATTGTTGCTTGACTCTATTTCTTTGTTTTAAAGAGAAAGCCATTGCTTTCCCCTGAAGAGAACAGAGCTCTCATTAATGTTCCTTTTTGAGGTGTGGGACTATTTCATCCCTGTAGGCTTTCTGAAGTAGCTCAATAAAAGATTTCGCAAGATGGTATCTCCTCCCTTTTATTTTAATAGGTTTAATTAACCTAATTAAAATTACTGTCGTCTGAAAATGTTACCTTTTGTCTGAACCAAGGGATGAGCTCCTGTTAAGGAGTTTCTTCCTCTGCGTGGTTGAACAGATGTCCGTGTGTTTTTCTGGGAGATCACAGGCTGCCTTTGGTGTAGGCTTTAGTGTGAGGTGGGGTTTTTATTAACTTGTTTTTCTCCCAGCTGTCACAGTATTTCAGCAAATTGAATAGGGGGCAGTGTGCATGTTTGTAGTTTTTCTAGTTTTGATCAACCTACTGCTTTCACTAAACACTTGAAGGCTTATCTAGTTTCTTACAATAGGGGCTGCTCATTAAGACATTTGAGGATGGGAGTGGAACATGGGTTTTGTGTCAGCTGTTGAGGTGTTTCTGATGATTTATCTGCTGTATTTTGTGAACCCTGAGAAATGTTGGATCATGTTCAAAAATACAGTGTGTTGGATGGGTTTGACTGAATTGTCTGAGTGTTCCAAAGTTAAGTTTTGTATCACGATCCTGATTATCTGCACCTTTGGCTGTTTATAGCACACTGCTCTGGTTATGTGAAATGCCACTTAACAGTGCATTTAAAACAGAAGCATTCAGAGTGGAATGGAAATATAAGAAATCTGAAATTTGGAAATGGAAAATAAGATATCTGAAATTATTACTGCAGCTTGTAAGGCTCCTGTCAGATCTCTAACACTGCTTTGCTCTCTTCCCATGTAGCTCAAATCACCCAAGAGACCAGGTGAGTTAACAGTTGCATTGGAACTTGCTCACAGTGCTGCTGTTTCTGAGCAGAGAATGATACTGTAGATGCTTGAGTGTGTAATTGCTGACTGTGGAATTTGGCTGTATAATTGTTTTGACTGTGTAATTGCTGTTCTTTGTGTGGCTGCTGTGCCGAGCAGGCCTTGCGCGAAGTCTCTTTGCCTGCCCTGACGTTTCTCAAGGATGAGAAGGGAGATGTGCATCTTTGGTGGCTGAAACATGGGACAATCCAACTGTGTAAAGAGGGTTTTTCATTATATTCAGGTGCATCTGGACACCTTGCCTGCTTCTCAGGTCGATGGAGAGATGGTTTTATTGTTTTATGCCTCCAGCTCTCTAGATGTGTCTGTACACTTAATTTCAAGACAGAGTGGTAGCAACTTGCCTAAGTAATTCTGACCCTGTTTAACTTCTTTAGTAGGGGTTAGAATTAAAATCAAGGACATATTGTCCATCACCTACCTATGAATGTATGTTTTTTTTCTGTTAAATCTTCAGTGACTATTATAATTCAAGGCAGAGGCTGAGTTATTCATACCAATATATAATTCTTTTCTGGGGGAAATTTGAGTGTGTAGCTTTCTGGGCTTATTATTTCTGCATATATGACCTTATTAACTGCAGTTTTGCAGTCAGATGTGCTATTTTGTGATGGACACATGCTGGTTTTTAAATACAGTGTCTCTCCTGTTCTCAGCCTCCCCCTCCTCTCCTGAACACCTCCCAGCTACACCAGCAGAGTCTCCTGCACAGCGGTTTGAAGCCCGGATAGAAGATGGAAAACTCTACTATGATAAGAGATGGTGAGGCCCGGGGGATTTCTGTTTTAATCAGCCTGAGTGCTGTGTAGTGAAAAGGCTGCAGAGAGAAATTGCTTTGATCAAAGAATTTGTGGACAAAATGTTTTTTGGGCAGAGTTCGCTGCTTCCCCCAAGGGCTCATCGTTGCAACCAGTAAATCAGACGTGACGGTGGAGTGTTTAGACCCCGTAGATTTGAGGGATAACTAGTGGCTCCAATAAAAGGAGACTTGAATCTCTCCCATGGAATCAGTGATGTCCACTGTGACACTTAGGAAGTATTTTTTGTCAAACCTAATATTAGGTAAGAGAGCCAGCAGCACACACAGTGGGCTGGAGCTGTGAAGCTGCTCAGCTTGGATACAGACAGTCCGTGATTTTTGGGCACAGTGGTGGCAGCAGCACTCACATTCCAGGGGTTCAGCTTTGTGGGAACACAAGCCCAGCGTTCCACAAGGTGGCAGAAGAAATGTCGTCCACCAGCTGAGCAGGATGAAAAATGTTTCTAATAAATCCAAATAACCTTTAAAGATCAAACCCACCTGGGAGAGGCAACTTCAGTATTGCTGATTGGATTTAGCTCTGTTGAGTTTTATGGCCGTACAGCTGTACAAGCCTCACAAAACACAAGGAAAATATTAAACTCTGCAGAGAAATCTTAGTAGGTCTTAAACTTAATCCGTGTGAGACATGCAAACCTGGATAATCAAGGGGGCAATCTTGTCCTCTTCGAGCAGAAAGCAATTTGCTTGTTTGTAACCTGCTTCAGTGTTTCTGGTGGCTCAAAATAACAAGTGATGAGGTTGTAGTTTTACCACAGAAAATGACAGGTGGGAAGCTTGTTTTCCACACAGCAGTCATCTTGTACAGTTGGTCAGTTTTCCCTTCTGACTGTGATGTTTTATCTAGGGTTCAAGTTTGCACAGCTCAGATAAAAGCTGCTGCCTGGGTTGAAATGACTGAACCATAAAGCAGATATGAACTGAACAGGCTTCACAAATTCATCAGGTTCTTTTTTTTCATCGTCACTTTATGCACACAAAAAAAATGATCTCCAGGATATATTTGGATCAATAAACTGTTCTTCAGAATTTTTAGTGTGTGGGGTACTGAAAAGTGTTCACTAGTAAAAAAGGAAAAAAAAATGGAATCTGCCAGTAAAGCTCCCAACTTCTCACTAAATTTAAACCTGGAAGAGCTTCAGTGAGCCCAGATCTCCCTGAAGGGTATCAGGTTGGGACATAAACCACTAACAAACATTTTCATCTTGCTGAATTCAGTTGTCGTGGGGGTCTCACTGTCAGGAATTCCAGCTGTTGCCTTTCCTATCTACCTTGTCCTTAGTGCTGTTTTAAGTATTTTACATTTTTTGGTTGTTATAATCCTGCTTAGATTTTTTTGATTGATAGTAATAGAACTTCTGCAAAGTAGCTGGTGTTTTAAAATAATGAAGTAACTCTCAATAGTGGGAGGATAGTTCTTTCTAAGGTGCATTTAGAGTGCTGGCATGTACAGAAATACTGAACCTGACAGCTCAGGAGTGACTTTCTCTGTTTCCTGATGCAACCGTGCATGACTGTTATCTCCAAACACCAAATGCTTAAGGACCCCCTAAGGTTTTGCAGAGATATTTCACAAATAAGTCTCCAAAGTGGAGAGTTTCAGATGAATGTGGAATTAGATTCAGGTTTTTATCCTCAGTCAGTTTGCTCCGTGCTCCCCCACTGAATCCTAAAACACAGTTCACTGTAAAACAACAATCTTTATTTGCTTTTAGCATTGCTGCATTCCATAACGTAGAGGGATTTCTTTCAATCTCCTGATGAAATTGCTGCTGAAAATCATGGCCCTTCAGCGAAATATTTTATAGCAGGAAGTGGAATTGTTTCTGCTTGTCTCACTTGCCAGCACTGTGGTGTGTTTTACCCACTGCAACAGCAAGAGTTGTTTGGCCCTTTCCCCTCTCTTGAAAGCCAACTTAAACTCCATGGCATTTTTCATCTGGAGTGTTTTCCTCAGTTCTACCCCTCTGTGGATGTATAAACTTGGCACAGGGGTGAGGCACGAACAGGTACCAGGCAGCTGACCTGCCTGTGTGTGCACAGAGCAGCTGAGACAACTCCTCAGTGAAACAGTGCTGAGCCAACTTGTTCCCTTGCCTTGCACAATTAACAGGCATTTGCTGATGGATGGTGACTCGTGATGTGAAATCCGAGGGCTGAAGCCTGTGCCATGTGTGGTAATCAAAAATTGAAAGAAACAGCTTTGAGTGGGGAAAAATATTTCATTATCTCTGCAGGCACAGATAACACTTGAGAGGTGTCGTTTGCATTGGTATCTTCTGCACTGATACTGATTGTATCAAGATCATCAATTCTCCTTGCTTAAGCACTCACAGCGTGGTAGGACACTGCTGGACTGAGATTTTTGTCTTATCTTAGTGAGGCCTGGGGTTTGTAGTAGCTTATTCAGTTCCTTTGTATCAATTTAATGACATCTGGACTCGCTAAACTGCATTTTTTTTTTTTTTGGCTCAAGATCATTGTTGCTGTTGCATTGTCCTGGAACCCACTGACATCCTTTCTGTTAAAATGAAGGAGAAAGAGGAATGGTTGGGCACAGGTGTCAAAAGGTTTGCAGGATTTGGGTTTTTTTTATTACCTCACCCAGCCTGTGGGTAGTGAGTATGTTTAGAAGGCTCAAAGCTGACACTCATTTTAGTTACTGGCAAACTGTGTGAAAATTCTGAGTACATGAGCCAGTAGGAAGACATTGTGGAATAAACCACTGGAAGACTTCCATATTTACAGTATGGTTATTTTAGAAATAGCTGTAAAGATTAAATAAATCCATGCATTTTGCAAATGGTGTTCAGACTGCAGGAGTTGTACTGAGTAGCTACTGAGGGGAGTGGCTGTGTAGTGATTCTGCAACTTGGATTGCCCAGATAAATATGAAGCACATCATGATTAGGGTGAAGGTGGAAATATAGATACGCTTTTATGATTGTAAAGGATTTTGGTGCTTGCTTGATCAGGGTTATTTACTTTCAAATCACCTGTGTCAGTGTGATTAGTTCTGCCTACAGAACTCTCCTAGGCAGAATAAACAGAAACTGGGGGAGGTTTGGCTGGAGCACTTAAAGAAAGGTGGGCTGTGAAGGGGGCAAGTCCCTGGAAACAAGTAATTCAGAGTTAGGACTTTCAAAGTCTTTGTTTTGTACGCAGCACATTAAGAACAATACATAGCTTAAAAAAAAAAGGTTGGGAAATGGGTATGTTTAGTAAGAGCCTCCTAATGGCAGGTATATACAGTTTGTTACAGGGTCAGTTACCCATCACCAGTTTGCCTATGTTCAGAAAATAAATCAGTATTGGAGATCTGAGGTCTTGTTAAACAATACACAAACTGCACAATTGAGGATAATTCAACTTTTGGTGGTGGTGGTGCCCTAGTAATTTTGTATTGGGAAATGTGAATAACTTTTGAGTATCTGTGACTTGCTCTGTCGTATTTTATCAGGCATAATATGGAGTTGCCTTCTGAAACCCATCCTATGTCTGAAATGTGAAGGGCTTCTTGGATTAGCTCTTGTTGTCAGTCAGTGTTCTCCTGTGTGGTGCCTGGTGCTCTGCCCCTTCCTCTTGCAGATGTGAAACCTGTTTTCAGGAGCCTGCACGTAGAGCTGGATGTGAATCATGCATTTCAATAACCATTAAATGCAAAGTGTGTGTGTGTAGAACCGGAGCACCCGCTGTGCTGCAAAGATGGAGAAAGTGGTGTGGAAAGACGGACAGACAGACTTCAGATTGACTCTGTCCAAACGTGGAATCCCAGCTTTGTCACCAGTGGTTTCATGTGTTTCCTTTCTCTTTTTTCTCTGTGCAGGTACCACAAGAGCCAGGCTATTTACCTGGAGTCTAAAGAGAACACGAAGATCAGCTGTGTGATCAGCTCTGTGGGAGCCAACGAGGTGGTGGGCTGCTTTTGTTTCTCAGCAGAGGGGGGGGAAGGACACGGGTCTAGTGAGGACTAGGAGTGAACCTTTCAGCCAGGATACATACTTGGGGTGTAAAGAAGCTGAATCCAAGATAAAGCCAAGTTGAGAAATGTCTTTCTGAGATGGAAAGACACTGTTTTTAAAGAATGGTCCTACATTTTACAAGTAGTAGCAGGAAAAATGGGTAGAGCTGACACGTTGCATCTCACTGGCACTACATTCATAAATTCCATTTCCATTATTTCAAGAACATGCATACAGTTGTTGTCAAGGCAAAATTAAAAGAAATTCCATTGGGAATGCAGAGGAGGATGAGAAAAAACTTTGTCACCAAATTTAGTTGTTGTGAGGGAAGAACATTCTTCCTGCTAACAGAGAAGCTCTCTGGCAGCATCCATCACCTCCCTGGGAGATGGGGCAGGCCAGTCATTTGTCTGAGGCAATTTCCTTGTGCCTGCTGATGAAGCCTTAGAGCAGCAGGTGAAGAGCTCCGTGCCCAAGATTGATGTGAGTCTGGCTGCAGGAGTAGCAGTTGGGCAAAGGGAGCAGTTTATTCTTTGCTTGCAAATTCCAGACACTTCAGGGAAAGAAATAATAGACTTGAGTGCACTTCTCTTCAATCAGCCAATAAAGGAACTTTAATTTGTTGTGGCAGCTAAGGGAAAATACTTTATTTTCCCCAGAATGAGTTGCATATGGGATATGTTTGTATCACAACTGTTCCCCTGGCAGTAACAGTTGTGTTGCTCAGCAGTTGATAGTTCAGATAAAGTAGTGCTAGTGTGCTAATGGGTGCTAAATGTAGTGCTGCTAACTGGATTAAAGTTGTTACTGGTAATTTATAACATTAAAATGGAATTCTTTGGGAGCATCTTACCTGAAACCATGAGGGAAATGCAATCTATTGATTCCTCCCTGTGAGGGTGGGGAGGCCCTGGCACAGGTTGCCCAGAGAAGCTGTGGCTGCCCCATCCCTGGAAGTGTCCAAGGCTAAGTTGGATGGGGCTTGAGGCAACCTGGGCTAGTGCTTTTTGACAAAAACTCTTCTTCAGTACCTGCAGGAAAGTGTTATTTTTTTATTAATTTACTCAGAAATCTCAGATTGTTGAAGTTGAAAAAAGGAAGAAGCTTTGATTTCAAAAAAGTCTAGGAATAAAAGAAATTCAGAAATCGTTTTGGTTGCTCCTATTTCCCATCTCCTTCAGTTCTTTAGGATTAATAGATGTTCTCCTCTAATGGCAAAATATATTGTGTGTCTGAAACATCAGTTTTAAGTTCAGAATATGTCTTGATGTGTTTATTTTCCTGAACACTATGGCAGATTTTAATGTTAAGTAATTGCACTGTTGTGGTCACTTAAACCTGAATTTTAATATTGTTCCAAATGGAACTTAACAAAGCAGTTAATTTTAGCAAAACAAATGTACCATTCCATCATATCATGATAGAATGTAAAATTGTACATGTTTGTTGCTTTGTGCAGTTGCTCAGAAATTTGTAATTCTTTTGGCAAGCAAAACATGCCAAATTCTTGGTAATGTTGCAGTTGAGAGATGATTCTCAATGAATGTTGATTTTAATTTCTCTGGGGAAATAACTGAAGTACAGACACAGGCAAATATTAAATTTATTGTATACTGAGGACTCCGGTTGATAAAGTCAGTTTATTATTAAAATAACAGAGCTAATAGCTAACATAGCTAAAAAAATAGCTTAGGATAAATCAAAGGCCAACATAACTTTATAATCCTTTGCAGTAGGAAGTACTGGACTTCTGTCCTAAAATACTCCAGTACTAAGAGCTGGGTAATTCTTACTTCATGCACGTATTTAAATATGTTTAAATGCATTAGAATGATCTAATGCAGAGGAGATTGCTCAGACTTTTAAAGTACAGGTTTTTGGATCTAAATGTCTTGAAAGTGATTTAAAAAATTCTCTGGAGTGGCAGCAGTTTGTCCTTTGGAACGTGTTGTGTGTGAATTCTTCCGTGCAGGTGTTGAAAAGAGGGGCCCTTTTGTCTTCAGGTACAATTTCTGTAACAACGCTGTGGGAAATGCCTCACGGAACAGAGTCAGGATAAGCTTTTCATTTGACTAATAGTTACTTGTCTGGGCAAATCCCAGGGTAGGTAATTTTATGATCTGTGGATCTAGGGAGACTTATTCTTGATTAGGCAAAGCTTAATGCCACAGTCCTGTTGTGAACTGGAGCAGAAAGGAACCTGCTTTCCTGATGGTGCTTGGAAAGAGTCATTTTTCTTGAGGACTGTTCTGAGCAGCAAGTTGAGGAGGTAAAGTTAGAAACCTTATTTCGTGTTCTGCTCAGGTTGCAAATGCCTTGTGTGGGGAGGGAGAAAGGATTAACCTGAACGATTTGTGCACCGAGAGCAGCAGGGCAGTAACAGAGGTGTTCAGCTCTGGCAATAAGATACCCGGTTTATTGGTCTGCGTGTTGCTCCCTGTGAGTTCTCCCCTTTTACCCCCAGTTCATCTCCCTGCCCCATTTTTTATATTCTTTCTTTCCTGCAGATCTGGGTGAGGAAAACCAGCGACAGCACGAAGATGAGGATCTACCTGGGGCAGCTGCAGCGAGGTGTGTTTGTGATCCGCCGGCGATCGGCTGCGTGAGCGGGAGCTCCCCTGGGGCCTTTTTTTTTTTTTTGGTTTTTAACTGATCACCAAACCTCTGCTGGGGGGTGTCGGGCTGCTCACTCCTCCCAGCAGCACAGAACAGTGTCATGACCTCTGATGAGACCGTTTGTGGCTGGCCACATGATCCCCAGTAGTCCTTAAGTCTTTAGTGATGCCCAAGCACTGCCCTGGACTATTTCTGGATTTTTGCATCAAGCTTCTGTATGCTCTCTTTGTATTTGGGGTGACTGTCGAAGAAGACTTTGCATCAGACTTTTGTCATCATCGTTTTGTGGTGCACAGATGGGACTCGTATGTCAAAAACAATGTCACGTCTCTGTTTGAAGTCAGACCAGTGGAAGAAGCTTTGCTTGTCAAGACCTGAGGTTGGTTGTTCTTTTGGGCCTTGTTTTCTCTGCAAGGCTCGGGATGCTGGGCCAAAGGAGGTGAATCCTGCCACGTTTCATCTGCAGCTGAAGAGAAGCCTCCAGAACACCTGGTGCACAACATCAGCTTTATTGGGTGAACTGCTCAAAGACTTGAGTGCTGAGGTTTTTTTTGGACGGTGTGAACAGCTTAGAAACTGCTGAAAATACAGCGATTTTAATGTAGTTAAGCAGTCACGCGTGGTTAATCAGAAGCTTCCGTTTCTCTTCACATTAAAAAACCCTTCAATGAACAAGCAGAGTATGTCTGTTTGCTGAAATAGATTACCTGGAATAGGTGGATGACTATAAATTGAATAATGACTGGGAGTTTGCAGATAGCTTGGCCGTATGAACTCTGTGTGTGAGTATAATCATTCACAGGTGTAGTGACAAAAGATAAACTTCATGTTCTTCATTGATGCTTAGAATAACAGGTTGTGGTGATAGGAGGTACTGGATCTGTTTTATCTTCCAAAGGAGCCTGGTACAGAGTAGAAAGTGGCATTGCCATGCTCTCAGTCCACAGCTGGAACCTTCATTCCCTAAGACGCTTTGCAAAGGGTTCCCCTGGAAGGGTGTTTTAATTACTGGAGACAACACTGGGCTTTTACACTTGCCCTCCTGTGGCACAAGTGAAAATACTCAAATGATGATATTAATGCCAAGATGTTTAAAGATCTGACTCTGGCATTCCTTTATTATTCCCAATCTTTTGCTGATGGCTGGAACCACCAGAGCCATGTGTGACTGCATTGGCAGGAGCCACCCGGTGCCCTGGCACTGCTGTCAGATCTCTGCCTTATGTGCAGAACAACTTTGTGCTGCTTTTGATTACTAGTCAAAAAGTTGTAAATTCTGTCTTCATCAATATCTATCACTTTGAGACATTTTTTTTTTTGGTTTTGCTTTTGAGCTGCATTCTTGTTCAGCATCAGCTGAGCTGGATAAATGGAATACAGGCAAGGCAAGGGAGTTGGAACAACTGTGTCCATTTCTTTCCTGCAGTTGGGTGGCAGTCACACCCCAAAAACTGATGCATGTACGTGGGTCTGGAGTGGAGTGTGATGGCTGAGTTCCTGATGTGACAGACACCTTCCTGATTTTTGCAGTTTGGAGTTTTAACTGGATCTGGAGCTCTGGCAAGGAAGGAGAGGATGTTTCCCACCCCTTGACAACGTGCCATCTTTGCTGCAGCTTAGTCAGGCAGAAAGCAGCAGCCTGGATTTTGTCAAGTTAACAGCTTACTTAATATAACTTAACATTCTCTGCACATGTCACAGTTTTTTAATAAGGTGGTGATGTACCAAACAGGATTTGTCACCGAGTCTTAAAATGAACATCATCATTCTAATAATAAAAAGTGCTAAGTGAGTAGCAGGATTTATTTCCTGTCTATATCATTTTATCAATATCTGTATTTGTGGAAATAGCTGGGAACTTTGGTTCAGTGTTGGGGAGATACACCCTGCTGACAGCAGCTGATCTCTGCTGCTGTGATGTTCCCTGTTTTGGGGTAACTTTGGGTATTGGTAGGAGTGTGGATGTGCAGCTGCTCCCTTAGAGCCAGGAGTGGTGCAGGTGCATGTTGTGTAAATGTAATTCAGCAGCTTCAACACCACATCTTAATCTGAATCTACAACGTGCTCACCATCAGTGGGGACAGAACAGCTGCTCTCCCAAGCAAAAGCCTGTCCTTCCATTGCAGGTGTTGAGAGGGGAGATGGGGGGTGGGACACAAGAATTTGGAGAGTCTTCTGGAAGTGAATACCTGGGGGACTGTTGAACCACTTCCTTCTCCTGAAACCCAACTGCTGAGATGTTGCTGTTCCCCTAAGGATCATCTTGTGCTGTTGATCAAGGAGTGAGAGAAGACAAGCTGAGGAAGAATGAGGACAGTGAGGAGTCAGGGTGGGATGGAGGGACTGTCAGTGTGTGTTGGGTGGACTGGGGACAGGGGCTATGTAAACTCATGGTGTGAATCAGGGCACTGCTTCCACCTGCAAGTTGGCAAAACTTGATCTCACACTTGTACTCTCACATCAATCTTGAATCTCCTTCTGCCAGAATTCCTTGCCCCTGGGTCAACCTCTGAACTGTAATTTCTGGTTTTGGCAGCCCTGAGTAGGGGCTTGTAGCCCTCTTTGTTCAGATTTAACTGCTGCTCTGAAGGTACTTTGTTTATAGCCTACTTCATCCTTAGTTTCTTTATGAAATGAAAGTCTGTCCTGCCTTTGTCATCACCATAAAGAGTAGATCTGTCTCACAAAGTACCTGGATATTGTACCCTTTTTCTCCAGGCAGGCTGTTCTGTGATGGCCTGAGCCATTTGAGAGGCTGGAAATGATGAAATGCAGTGCCTTGTTGTGCACTCAGGGAAGCAGTGCATTTTTTTTTTTTTTTTAATCCTAAAAGGATGCTCGAGATGTGCTGTGGTGAGGATGAGGCATGTGGAGATCAAGAGTATAGACAGCAGCTGTAGAATTGAAGATTTCCTGCCACTGGTTGGAAAAATAGAGACAAGTTACTCAAGGAGATGGACAAGGTCTTGCTTAACTTCCAAGAGAAAATTGGCTTTTCTGTCTGCTCTTTGCCTGCCTATCATCAGTCTTGAAGGATTCAAACCCTCAGTGAACAGAAACAGCTTTGCTACAGGTATGAAACAATTTAATCCTCATCAGGAAATGGTTTTTAACTCGTGGTTATAGTAATTTTAAAGAAAGGTGAACCTTCTGCCAAAAATAGAGTTTTATTGAGGGTTAAATTGGAGTTGGCTGTTGACTCATATTAAGCATTTTTTTTTCGTTGCCTTGAGAAACGGACTGTGATGTTGATATGTGTAAAATAAAAAAGATAATTCCCCCTCAGCCATTAGATGTTCAGATGGACAGAAGCCAGATCAGTGAGCCAAATTCCAGGGGCTTTTTGACATCATATTCATGCAAAGAGGCCTTTTCCAAGGACAAATGCTAATAAACAAAGTTGTCTTTTTTAGCTCATGTGCTTTTTCTTGGATTTTGTAAAGAGACAAAGTGATTGAGTGACAGAAAACTTAATTGTTTATGATTTATTATTATTTTTTCTAATTTCTGGGGAACTAAAGAAGTAAAGCCTGCAAGAACAAGAAATTGCTGTGACCCTTGTGAGTAACTGAGGTTCTTCCTCCTTCAGAAAAAAAAAAAAATCAAAAAGCAGCTTTTGGGTTCTTGTTCCAAATAGCAAATGCTGAGTGACCCAAGAAAATCTGAATGGGTGTCTAAGGTTTGCTGTTATTAGTTTTAGTTTCTCCAGTTCTAAAACTAAAAATTTAATATATACTGAATTATTTAGAAAACTAATTCATGTTTCTGGTTTTCTATGATTTATTGAAAACCTGTTGTCACTGAAACTTCACATTTCGTACAGTTAGAGTGCCATTATTTTAATGTCATGTTGAATGTGGGAAACACTTTTAACCCTTAACATCAGGTCAAATTCTTGGGATGCCAAAATATTTTGTAATATTATCTCTTTACGGTGCTATCAGTACTGGTTATTTAGATCCCTCCTTTTCATGCAAGAAAGGAAAATACTGATTTAGTTGAGTTTTTAAATATGTTTACAGAACTCTGTGAGTTTATGAGCACTGAAAACCCCACAAAATATTTTGGTTTTTTTACCCTCCAACGTGATATTAATAAACAGGCAGAGGGGAAAAGTCCCTCAAAGAAACCTTGTACCCTGGGACCAAAATTTAAATAACATTTAGGTGACAAAAGCAAAAGGCAAAATACATGGTGTGTATATGAGCAGGGTGGGTGCCTAAACTCCCCTCACATAACTGAGATGCTGAACAAGCAGCACAGGAAGAGTTACTGAAGCCTTTGGTTCTAAAATAGCAATGCCCTGAGCAAAGCCAGGAATTTGTAGGGCTTTGGAACAGAGCTCTAACCCACGGGAAACAACCACTGCTTCATTTAATCAATCCTAAATTTGAAAGCTATCAGTTGCTCTGCACGCCTAAGGTAGCTTTGTCATTTTTCATTTAGTTCTAATTTGCATCCCCATGTTCTGCCCCAGATCTTGAGAGGGGAAAATAATCAGAATAGCGATGAAACGTACATTCCTCATTTCACTTTATTGAAAGTTCCTTATTTTTATGGAGTTAGGGTTCTTTTGGCAGTGGTGGTTGGCTGCACATCTCTGCTGGTTCATCAAAGCTAACGAGCTTTAACAAAAATAAATGTCAAATGCGAGTCAAGGTTAAAAGGGGTGTTTTAAGTCAAGTTTTTCTGCTTAATGGTTTAAATCCTGGTTGGAATTGGTGACTGAAGGATGTTAAAGTAAACAGAGTGGTTGCACTGATGGGCATGGGTTTGAAGAGTGGTTAGCTCAGGACACATGGATGGAGCTCCACGTCAGCTGCTGTCATTAAATGGAGAGGTAGGTCAAATTTTTATTTGTTTTGGGGTTTTTTCCCCTCTTTCAGGGAGCTAATGGGTGTCTGATAAACAATTAATTGATTTCTGTTATGCAGACAGTTGAAGAAAGCTGCTGATCGTGTCAAGTTCCTGTTAACACTGAATAATTATTCATTTTGGGAAGAAATAGCCTTTTGCCCATGAACTATAATTTACTAACAGTGCATTATAGTCACAGGAATATTTTTTTCTGTTGTGACTAGGAAGCAACATTCCAAACCTTGTACATCATGAGGCATCGTGTAATAGGGAAGACTGAATACTAAAGGTACTAAATCGTGTAATGCAGTTGTACAAAATCAGTATAAATTCAGGAGGCAGATATTCTGATGGAACAGGATTTCTGGGGTAGTAAAAACCTCATCCATTGAAATTGGATTTAAGACTGGTTTAAGACTGTCTTGGAAAGTGTAAGACGTGGCAGGACAGTTTGACATGTGACCTGGGCCCAGGAATGCACAGTCTGTAACAGCATCTCAGCACTAGAGTATTGATTAGGGCTCATTCTGTACCAAGCGTGAAGTTCTGCAGTTCAGGGAAGGGCAATAACATGGCAGAGCTGGCAGGAGAGTTCCCAGCCCTGCCTGGTCTCCTCCCCTGAGACAATTCAAAACTATTGATTTGTTTCCACTTTCATTGAAATAACTGTTTTGAGAAGAGCTGTGGAGGTCTGGGTGAAATACAGAAATAAAGTGTCTGTCCCCTTGGGTAAAACCAAGGTGGATAAACCCTTGTTTGTTCCGAGAAAGGGACAATTGGTGGCAATCCAATGAGGGGCCCTGTCACAGCAGGGCTTT